AAAGATGATCCAGTCCATGTTTTTGTCTTACTTGTACAGCTTCGTTAAGCCAGCATTACAGTTTCATGTTCTCCAAGGACGCTGACTGCCGGGCTTCGGTTGGGTAGCCGCGTTAACGGAAAATCAAAAACTTGAAACCCAAGGTTGCTCGTTAAAAAACTGCGTACTTATAACGAAACAAAGACTTTTTCATCCAAGATTTGTTTCGTTGTGCTGCTCGACGCAAAGAGAAACAAAGAAGCCAGGGTGGGGGAAAATATCCTAGAAATTAGCAAATTGTGATTGTTCTTGCTGTGACCTTGTGTGAGTCTGCAGAAAGGTGGAGCCACGCGCGTCGAGAGTAGACAGTGGGCGAGACAGGAATAGACAAACTGAATGGCACATCGTTAGTGAGGCGGTCTCCATACCCGAAGCTTTCGTTAATTTCTAGGCAGAAATTTAAGACGCGGAATTAACACAATAGCGCCACGAAAATAATTGAACTGAAAACAGCACCCACATTCACACACACACACACACATACATACACATACACATACACACACACATACATACACATACACACACACACACACATATATATATATATATATATATATATATATATATATATATATATATATATATATATATATATATATATATATATATATACAAACAACACAAACAAACTGTTAAAATTAATATTCCTCAGGTGTTTTTTTTTCACTCTCAAAATAATTAAGCATTAAAAAACTAACAAACAAAAAGAAGAAGAAAAGAAGAAAAAGGGGACAGAATCACACAATAGATCCTTGAACTAAGACCGAATTATACAAAAGGGGAAGTAATCTACTTCTAGCCAACATTTTAAAACCACCATATCCCAAACATTTATTGCAAATAGCATAATACTATGTGAACTATGTAACAAAGTTGGTAACTAAAATTATTGGTATTTATCACAAGAGTTGTACTAGTTTTACGTTTTTTTTTCTTCTTACAATGAAATAATAATTTTAAAAAATTAATAGATTTACAATGTTATGTGATATAACAGAATTTAAGTCCAGGAATAATGTTTGTAACAATGTAACGCCTTCCGTTATATTTTACACTATAGGCTTCTTTTTATCACTTTGTAACATTGTTTTCGGAAATACAAAAAAGTGACTACAATTAACATTGGAACATTTCTGGCGCGTGGGAAAATATTCACAAGCTACGCAAGCAAGCGTTCACAAAAATTTTATGGACTTAAAAATTGATATCTGAAAGATTTAGACTATTCTTTTTTTTTAGGTTTACATTTGTCATTTGACTGCTAGTTAACCCATCTTTAACTCCACTAGATTTTGACGAAAACCGCAAATTTCATTTCTGAATTTTGAATGAGATGAACTAGTACATTGCCTGTCGATTTCTGATGTTGGTCATTATTTGTGTCACGTGGTCGACGAGCTATCTGTTGTCACCAGGTTCTGTAAGCCCCTTTAAAGTTTGAAAAAAGTTTTCCGGCTGGTTCCCTCTGAGACACGTTGATCAAACCGGCAACAAGCGGACGAGTTAGCTGACATATCATGGAATCCCGAAGGTGGAAGACAAATGGGGGGCCCAAAAACACCTGCTGGGGATAAATAAAAATAACATGAGAATTTTCGGAAAGAGTTGAGAAAAAAATATCAACGTACAGACAAGTATGGAAGAATGTTCTAGATGGCTTATAATCCTATGGGAGTTTTTAAAAAGCCAAGGAGATAATATCCTCTTGGGCACCCCTTCGTCACGTACCTCTCGGGTCACTACCCCGCCCCCTCCCTACATCAGTTACTGTCATGTTAATTACCGACCACCCCTCCCAATATATTAATTACAGACTATTCTCCACTCCCAACCCCTTGAAGGCTATGTTAATACTAACTTAATAACCACCCACACTGTCAACTATATTAACCCCAAACTGTGCCAAATATGGCCAACGTTAATTACTGACCATATTCCTAAATATGTTAATTAATTAATACCTGGCGGCAACTTGGGATATAGAAATGATTTTTAATCAATTTTTAATTACTTAAACTTTTAAAAATAGAATAGCAGAATCTCGTAGAAAAAAAAATGGCACAAACAAGTGACATGCAAACAATATGTGTATAATGGTGCGGAACATTAGTCCTTCTATAAATTCATATGCAATTTTTCAGAAATCGGAAATCGCGTAAAGTAATACTTCCACTAACCGGAAATTAGTCACAATTTGAATGATAACAGAGAATTAGATCTTTTACCGATATATGAAATTGCATCTATCTATCAGAAACAGTACTCAAGTTATAGGCTTTTGAAAACCCGGAAAAAGAATAAATTTCACTTACGACTTACGGTTACCGGAAATTGCGAAAAGTCGATACAGAACTACAAATTTGATATAATATTTATACTTATATATGAAATTTCATCAACCAAGCTGTAAAGATACTCAAGGTATCGTGTTCACAGACATGCATACACACATACATACATTCACACTTCACACACACACATACAAACATACGGACAGTTTTTACGACTCGATTACGCGTAAAACGTCTAAATTTTGTTAAACTGGATTTTGAACTTTCGCCCGATTAAAATAAGTCCCCTATACTCCGTATATGATGAAGTACTGAAGCGTAAAACAGTGAAAACTCAGTATACGAGAAAGTAAAAATGTAGCTAGTGATAGGATCATAGGAAGTAAACCTATAGAGTCCTTGCAAACACGTGACCTAAATCACGTGATACCTACGCCCGCCGCCACAGTGGTGTACATCAGACGTAAACACAATCAGCTGTTCGCCAGCGCTGGACGTGTTCACCGTATGTAAAGAATCGCGACCGCGGAAAAGGAAAAATACGTTAAAAAACTTGAACTCTTAGGAATTGAAGATCCTTATACAGTTATTGACAGTTTCGTGGATAATATAAATATGTGGCCGAAATTTCTAAATAAAAATACTGTTAGTAATACCGTTTGCGTTTAGAGTTTAAGTAGACGAATCTGATCAAATGCATTAATATATTAGAGGTTATCTACTGTAGCAAACGTGAGACCACTTAACTCCTACAAAACCCACACTACAACGGCTAATATAATCCATGGAATAACCAATCTGGGTAGCATGTTATACAATTTAAGACCCTTATAATCCAGCAGGGAAGTGATCAGACACATTAATACTGACGTTCAACCCTCACGATGGCTGCCCCCACCTGTATCTAGCCCACAATAAAACCAAAGAGGAGTCTGCCCTGCCCTCCCCTGAAAATGTCTCACCTCCGTGATACCCAGCCCCACAGAGATAGTATTTCTTATATAATTTTGACCCTCAGGGCCCAGCAGGGAGAACAAAAGGGAAAGTCCCACTGCTCTCCCCTCAACGCTTCTCACCTCGGTGTCATGTTATGTCATTTATAGCACACACGGCTTATCAGGGGAAAGCATTAAGGCATTAAGAATCTTAACTCTGGACAGCTACACACTAGTATACTAGCTACACACTAGGTGCCTACTGTAAACTACTAGACTGTAGGCCCTATGTAGACCTGCAATTGTATCAATTGTAGACTGGGTCCATTGTTATTATTCTAAACCATCTCACTTATAATGTTTCTAGCTTGATTTGTTTCTTTTATAAACAGTGGATTTAAAAAAAAAATTAGCCTAATCATTAACCAAATAATAATAATGTGGTTATTTGTTGTTGGCTGGTATGATCTAGATTGTACTACTAGGCTACAAAAACTTAGTAGACCAATTACTAGATATGAATTTGAATTTAATTAAACTCAGTCCAGTATCAGATACATATTGCTGTAAAAAGACAACAAAGTAGTTAGGCCTTAGTAATTTATTAAAGCCTTCTACTACAATAATATCAACTACATGCTTGTATAAAGTTTTTACAATTTAATTTAAGTAGCAGATTCTAGATCTAAGTCTAGTCATATAATCTATTTCAATTTCAGAAAATTTCGTTTGCTAAAAAAATGATTAGATAATACTAATAGAGCGAGATTTTAGATCTTAGAGACAATTAAATGCTTTATTAGGCCTATTAGTATTATGACTACTTTTGATTTATTATGGGTGTATTTTGAATCGAATGTAGATCTAAAGTAATTAAATTTAAGTAAAGAAGTAGATTCTAGATTCTATGTCTACCCAGCGGAGCCAGGTATTAGGCCTACTATTAGATCTTATTATTCTTATTAGCCTATTACTTTTGACTTTGTCTTTTACTATATATTAGTATTTGTGAAGGTCGAGCATATTTGTTTTATTAATTATTAATAGTTATCTTTTATAATTAAAATGAAGTTTATTATTTTACTGTCCTTACCTGAAACAAAGTATCGAGAACTGCATTTGATCAGATTCGGCTACTTTAACTCTAAACGCAAACAGTATTACTAACAGTATTTTTATTTAGAAATTTTGTCCACATTATTTATACGAAACTGTCAATAACAGTATAAGGATCTTCAATTCCTAAGAGTTCAAGTTTTTTAACGTATTTTTCCTTTTCCGCGGGTGCGGTTCTTTACATACAGTGAACGCGTCCAGCGCTGGTGAACACGTCCAGCGCTGGCGAACAGCTGATTGTGTTTACGTCTGATGTACACCACTGTGGCGGCGGGCGTAGGTATCACGAACGGACGTGACGTCATATGAAAGGACTCTATGGGTATCAATAGTATCATGAATAATCTTAGTATCATTCTAGTCAAGTTTGCGATTTCGGAACTTGCCAAATATAATTTTTTAAAAATAATTACACTCCGATTAACTACGTAGTTACATAGATAAGTATACTTAACATATTTATTCAGCTAAATTAATATATATTATTGGCTTTTATAAAAATAAAATAATTCAGCCATACACGCTATAACCATATTTTTCTGCTAGACCTATAATTTAATGCAACATCGTTCACATTTCTTTACACTCAGGCAAATCTGGCCAAGTTTCTAGAACAACATTCCACTTCCGTTTTGTCGGCGTTTTGCATGTGCTAGGCAACTGAAATAAGCGACTGAATTCGTATTATTTTCAATTCTTATTAAAATGGCAGCCATAAAATCATTGAATCCTAAAGCAGAGGTAGCACGAGCTGCTCAGGCTCTTGCTGTTAACATCAGTGCGGCTAAAGGCCTTCAGGAGGTTTTAAGGACTAATTTAGGGCCGAAAGGAACCATGAAAATGTGTGTTGAATTTTTTTTCCATTACCCAAAATTTTAGCCGTACTGGCGTGTCATGAGTCATTCACTCATTATTGACTACTAAGTTTAAAATTATAATTAGATTCTAGATCTACAACTCTGTAGTCCTAGTCATATTTTTCTCGATACTACTGAGCTAAAGGGTTTAGTAGTTGAAGTAGAGTTCCTTTACTTCCATAACAAATAACATGATCATCATTTGCCTTGGGGCAGTTAACTGAAGTTTTTGTTTCTCATTTTCTGTGCTCTCACAAGGAATGGGTAGCCTTTCTCAAAACAATAACATGATGCTGAGCAGCACTATTGCCTAATCTTATTCCTTAACCAAACTTTCAGTTTAAATTCCTCACGGGGATAATTGAATACACTTGTCTCACTAATTTCTGCGAATATGGTAACGCTTATAAATTTTACAATTAGGGCGAGGGCCTATAGAAATTCAAAGAATGTAATGGGTTACCTTCAGTTATTAGCCTGAAATATGCAACTTCATTTTGTTTGTTTTTAAATTAAAATAGGCATATAGATCTGGATTTAGGTTTCATCGATGTTCCCTGATCAACTCTAACTATCTAAACAATTGTTATGGAAAAGTGAACACCAACTCTCATTGGAGACATTGACTCACTACTTGTTTTCACAATTATTTCTATAAAAAAAAAAAATTAATTTATTGAGAAGTTTAAAAACAGTTTGCATCCTCTCATTTAGCCAAATTAATTCTTTTAGGGTAAAGGAGGGCGTTAAGAGCCACACTTTTTAGCACCTGTACATTTTTACAGATTTCTACTAAGCTAAGAATTTTTTAGTATTGAAAATATGGCAAATTTATTCTAACATATCTTACACAATATAAAAATAATAACAAAGTCTATTAAATATACTTTAAATGGGTTTAATTGAACATTTATTGTCATACCCCCAAAATCAGCATTTGGGGTGAAAGGAGCCGGGCAGTGGGGCAATAAGTATTATCTCCTAGTTTAGACTAACTCCGCAATAAAAATAATTAATTTCTAACCCAAAAATAGTTAATGCTGTGTACACACACTTTAACTGATACTAGCTATCACTAGGCCCCAATGGGCCCAGTCTACAATTGATACAATTGCAGGTGTACATAGGGCCTAAAGTCTAGTAGTTTACAGTAGGCACATTAGTATGCCTAGTGTGTAGCTAGTATACTAGTGTGTAGCTGTCCAGAGTTAACATTCTTGTATGTAAAAAGGGGTGGTACTAACTAATCTGCCTTAATGCTTTCCCCTGATAAGCCATGTGTGCTATACATTACATAACATGACATGGAGGTCAGAAATGTTGAGGGGAGAGCAGTTGTACTGGTTTCCCCTTTGTTCTCCTTGCTGGACCCTGAGGGCCATAAATTACATAAGGAGATGCTATCTCTGGTTGGCTGAGATGTAAGAACTAAGTCCATGCTACCTACAAAGAGATAAGTTTTATGGTGGGTTAGATACAGGTGGGGGCTGGGTATCATGGGGGTGAGAAATTGTGAGGGGAGAGCAGTGGTACTGGTTTCCCCTTTTTTCTCCTTGCTGGACCCTGAGGGCCATACATTACATAAGGATATGCTATCTCTGGTTGGCTGAGATCTAAGAACTTAGTCCATGTTACCTACAAAGAGATGAAGTTTTATGGTGGGTTAGATACAGGTGGGGTCTGGCTATCATGGAGGTGAGAAATTGTGAGGGGGGAGCAGTGGTACTGATTCCTCTTTGGTCTCCACCCTGCTTGACCATGAAGGTCATATATTACATAACATGCCACCCCAGATTGTCTGAGATCTGTAACTGTAATCCATGTTACCTACAAAGAGATGAAGTTAAATGGTGGGCCAGAAACTGGCGGGGGGCTGGGTATCATTGGGGTAAGAAATTTTAAGGGGGGAGCAGTGGTATTAATGTGTCTGTTTACTTCCCTGCTGGACCATGAGGGTCATAAATTACATAACATACCACCCCAGATTGACTGAGACCTAAGAACATTTATTCCTGTTACCTACAAAGAGATTTGAAGTTTTATGGTTGGTTAGAAACAGGTGGGGGCTGAGTCGGCTGTATTGCCCCTTAGGGGTAATAAGTACAAGTACCATTTTAAAAATTACATTGCTAACATCAGATGGCTGAATTTTTACTTTTTAGCAGGTTAGAATTGTATTTCTATCATTTAGACACAAGTCTGTTTAACAATTAATACATTTTGTGTTAACTATTCCTATACCAGTGTCATATTCAGTGGTCTAATAAATGAGAAACTCGCACATAGGGTTTCAAGAGCCACATAACAGTATCTGTTATAACTTTTCTAAACAGGCAAGCTAGTGAACAAAATTAATGTATTCATGAAGATTTAGTTATTATCTAACAAATAAAACCATTATGGTAATGATCAGTCAAGTTTTACTCTGATAATGATAAAAACTTTATAGCATGGTAAAATGGGACAAATGTCGGCCATTTTGTTTTGGCACCAATAATCACTGTGCAAAAAAAATTCACCAAAATAAAACTATTCTAGCCATAGCTATAAAAATAATGTTAAAATGTACAACAACCAATGCTCTAATACAGGAACAAAGAATGGGCTTGAAAAACTTATTTGGTTTATTACAAAGTGAAGTTTCCCAAGATATGTCTCTTTGGAAAAAAAGTTCACAAAATGGTTTTATTGAGATGAGAAATTTTAGGGAAAGAGCAGTGGGATTAAATCCTGTCTCATCCTTTCCCTATTGGACCAAGTGGGTCATAAGTTACATAAAATGAATCCTCTGCTTCTCTGTTATCAAAGAACAGCAGTGGTTGTTACCTCAGAAGTAGATTAGCAGTGTTATTGGGGGTTTTGTGGGGGTGGGGTGTTGATTGGGGCTTAATACCACACGGCTCTTAACGCCCTCCTTTACCCATTGAAAATAGTTAGGGACACATAAACTTGAAAGGGTGGCTTAGAGATAGTACTTTTGTTCTTCTTCTTCTTCGTTCTTAATTAAGGATACTGATACATGTCAACTGGTTATGCGCCATTGAGGTCATTGACTACGATTTCAGCCTGCTTTTCTTTTTGGATTTGCTTCCATAGCCTTTGTCCAACCAAGAACAAACTACAAGGCAGCAGTTGTTTGATTTTGGAGTTGTCTCTCCTAGAAGAGTGGCTGTCCTGAGCTAACGAGCCTCATCTGCCCGAGGGTTCAAACTTGAGATCTTTTGGTTTAACAACAATGAGCTTTACTGACTCGACCACGCCGACCCGTACTTTTGTTAATGAGGAACCTTTCATGCAAAATCTATGCCTATAGACTATTTCTTAGTTAAAAACAAAAAAGTAGACCTAGTAATCTTAGATGAACGGAAGATAATGCATTTTTTTCTAGTCTCACATTAAATTTTAGGACCACTACAGTTATTCATCAAGGCTTTCATTCTTTTACATGTATCAAAGTGAGGACACCTCCTCATGGACATCAAAGTGAAACTAGACTCTCAAACCTCTTTTGTTATTTGCCAACAGATATTGATACCCTCATAGTAATGACCCCGAAATAAAAACTGAAGCTCTTGTCTTAAGTTTTCAGTATCTGATCTGTGGTTTAGCTCTATTAGTAATGCTGATATTAGGGTTGCTGAAGATATTACTTTCAGGGTTCAAGTATAATTTAATTCTTGCGTTTATTGTGAACAAGTGTTATTATGAAGGTCTACATTAAGCTTTTTACAATCTATTTTTAGGCTGGTATCTGGAGCTGGTGATATCAAGCTGACTAAGGATGGAAATGTTCTTCTCCATGAGATGGTTTGTTGTGATATTCAAAACTAGGCATTTTAAATTGACTTAAGAGTTGATAAACAGCTAGCTGCATGCATTTTTTATTCTTCTCATTTTAAAGAGATGATTAAAGGTCATCATCATTATAATAGGACTTTTTGCAAAAGTCAAAATTGTAAAGAAAAATTAAGCCTGCTGCATAATTTATATCCTTTTTAATTCAATTGAATTTAAGTAAAACCCGAACGTACTTTTAAAATTTAGAATAGGTTTTTAATTAATTTTAGATATTACTTGTAGGGCTTATCTATATTACTATGTTTCATATGGTTATTTAGTTAAAATGGTTTCCTGTTAATATTTATTCTTTTCTTATAGCAAATCCAAAACCCTACTGCCTCACTTATTGCTCGTGTTGCAACTGCTCAAGATGATATTACAGGAGATGGCACCACATCAAATGTTCTCATTATTGGGGAACTTTTGAAACAAGCTGACTTGTATATTGGTGAGGTAAGTGAAGGACAAGGTACAGTCTATTTGTATTAAAACTATTTAAAAAAAGTTTGAGCTGCTTTTGAATTTTAGCTTATCAGCATTGCTACTATTGATTTTTTGTTTTGTTGATATTGTTTTTAAAAACTACCTTTTCATTATTGTTAGGGTCTTCATCCACGTTTGATCACAGAGGGCTTTGAAATTGCTCGCAACAAGGCTTTAGAAGTCCTAGAACAAATTAAAATCAAGAGAGAAATTGACAGGGACACCCTGATCCAAGTCTGTAGGACCTCCCTACGCACCAAAGTTTATCAAGAGCTAGCTGATCTGTTAACTGAGGTATTCAAGAAACCAAACATTTGAGTTCATCATGTTTAATGATACTTTGCTTTAGTTGGACGTACAATCTCAATTACTTACATTTCAGCATGTTGTGGATGCAGTGCTTGCTATTAAACAGCCAAATGGGTTAATTGATTTGCACATGGTTGAGACCATAGAAATGAGACACAAGACTGATATGGACTCAGTGTAAGAAAATCAGTCTTTTTGTTTTAACAAGTAGTTTAAGTGCTAGCTTTCAACTGTAGATCTTCATTTTGTTCACTTTCAGACTTGTGCGTGGCATGGTACTAGACCATGGTGCCAGACATCCTGACATGAAGAAAAACATTGAAAATGTTTACATTCTGACATGCAACGTTTCACTTGAGTATGAGAAGACGTAAGTAGTTTTATTTTTGGTTGTCCTTCATTTTAATTATTAGATTGCTTATTTACACCTAATGTTTAAAAAAAATATTTTTCAGTGAGGTGAATTCTGGATTCTTCTACAAAAGTGCTCAGGAAAGAGAAAAACTAGTTGCAGCAGAGCGTGAGTTTATTAATGACAGGGTGAAGAAAATTATTGAGATGAAAAAGAAAGTGTGTGATGGTACAAAAAATAACTTCCTGGTCATTAATCAGAAGGTAAGTGTGTGCTGGAACCTGGATAATCTAATATTGTATTGAATGCTCATGTATGAGTTGTTTGTTACTCTTTTACCCTGTAGTTTAAAAGTAACTTGTTTGTTTAGGGCATTGATCCAATGTCATTGGATTTGTTGGCTAAGGAAGGAATTGTTGCTTTAAGACGGGCTAAACGAAGGAACATGGAGCGGTAAGTTTTCATTTTTAAAGTCTATTTTAAACAAAAGTAAGTTGTTTATATGTCTTTGTTCTGATAAATATGATTTTTTTCCCAGAGTTGTTCTTGCATGTGGTGGTATGGCAGTGAACTCTGTCGATGATCTGGTGCCTGAGTCCCTTGGCTGGGCGGGCCATGTTTACGAACAAGTCCTGGTCAGTATCATGTGTCCTGTTTAAAACCATCTAGTTTTGTTGTATAAACAAACCTAAGAAAATCTTAATTTAAAATAATTTTTTTGTTACAGATGCTTATTCATATTTAAATTTTAAATGATACTTGCGTATATTTGCTTTTCAGTATTATTTTAGTTAATGAGAATTTCAAATCAAAGGGTATTCCTTTTTTTAGTTAAATTATAATCATACTGGAAACCGCTTTTTTGTTAGCTGAATATATTAGCTTCTTAAAATGCAGCTTGACAAATCTGCATTACTTTTCTATATGAACTTTTATACTGTTGACTGTAGGGTGAAGATAAATTCACATACATTGAAGACTGCAAGGATCCTCATTCAGTTACAGTTGTTATTAAAGGACCCAATGCTCACACTATTACCCAGATTAAAGATGCTATCAGGGATGGTTTGAGGGCTGTTAAGAATGCTATTGATGACAGTAAGTAATTTTTTATAAGACGTTTTTTTTCACCACTGTGTCACTCAACCGCTTTCAATTTCCTGCTTCATTTTAGCATAAGTATTTCCAAACCATTTACTGTTAGGACATTCCAATATTTTCACTTTCTAGTCTGAACAAACCAACAGCTACTTTTTTGAAACGTGTTCAAAATTCAGTCAGGAAAATTGTGACAGTTGTGTCAAATTATTTACAAATATTAAAACATTATTAAACAAAAAAAAAAAACATCCAATAATTGCTATGATTTAAAAAAAAATTAAACAATTTTGCTATACATTTTGCAATGTCACTATTTTATTTACATTATAAACAAAGCATGTTTTGTTAGCAAGATTCTAGCTAGTTTTTATTTACTAGTTTGGCCCCCCATGTAATGAGCCTAAAAGTTGCTATTTCTGGCTTCTCCTACCATCTGTTAAACCTAGTCACCAGCTAATTGATGATACATAGTTATAGAATCCTTATTGCAAAGTCATTTTAGTTCAAATAGTTTTATGTACATTATTTCTAAGAAATTAAAGGATGTAGCTGATGAATGATGAAAATAGTACTTGTTTTTTAACCATAACATTAAATGTACTCTACTTCCTCAGATTGTGTCCTGCCTGGTGCTGGAGCTTTTGAAATAGCTGCTTACCAAGAACTCATGAAATTCAAGGACACAGTTAAAGGACGTGCTAGATTAGGTACATTACATATTTAAGTTGAAAATATGTTAAAATGTATCAGATTAACTGCTGTTTTAGTAGACAATGTTTGCCTATGTCATGCCCCCAAGGATTCACCTAGGTATCACTTGTTTCCCACAGGTGTTCAAGCATTTGCTGAAGCTCTGCTTATCATAGTCAAAGTTTTGGCACAGAACTCAGGTTTAGATCCACAGGAAGCTATTGTTAAATTGCAGCAAGAATATCTTGGAGTGGAACAAGCTGTTGGTCTTGATATTAAGACAGGTACAATTTTTCTTGTGCTTTATTTTTTATGATAATCTGGGATATGTAGTTTTACAGTTAGCAAATATTTAGTGATCTAGAACATTTTATGCTTTTCCACATTAGCTTTGATAACTAATTTCTGCAAACAGGCATTACTTAACAAATGTGTACCAAGACATTATCTAATTGAGTGAAAGGTGCCAGTTTAAGCAGTAGAAAGACAATAGTGTGGTAAATTGTATTTAATTTGTTGCTGTTTATTGTAGGTGAAGCATTAATTCCTGTGAATGAAGGCATCCTTGACAATTACAATGTGAAGCGTCAACTTTTACATTCATGGTAAGTCTTAATAAAAATTGTCTAGCCTTTAAACACAGCGGCAGCTAACTTTAAAATGTACTGGTAGTGGTCTTTACTGTCTGTATATTTTTACCATTTTTCTTTCAGCACTGTGATAGCCACCAACCTCCTACTTGTTGATGAAATCATGCGTGCGGGAATGTCATCATTGAAAGGAGACTCTTGATGCTTTTAATTTATTCCTACCAGCTTTTTACCACTGCTTTTTTACAGTTATTATTCAGTTAAAATTGTGTATATATGCAGTTCGCTAGGAGTTGACCTGGAAAGAATTAAGTTAAAAATAGACACCATCTTTATGTGTTTGGCTGAATTTATATTAATTTAAGCATGTCTGCTGTTGCTCTTTATTAAGCTTGTTTTTTTTTTACAATAAAAATTTGTTTGACACTTCTGCTTCTTCACTTGCATTTGTTGATATAATAAGTCATTCCTAATGTAGTTAATCCCTTGCTAAAAAAAAACACCAGATCAGGATAAAGAATGTTACAAAATCGAGAAATTTAAAGGAGTTTATTACCAAAACAATTCAAAGTACATTTTCAAAGTCAACAGCAGATTAAAAACAAACAAGAAATATATTAGTTCATTACAATTCTATGATAAATTGGTTTCAAACTTAAAAAAAAATTTAACTTCAATTTTATGACTGGTTAAAAAATTACACAACTAAAAGACTTGAAATCTGATAAAAATAAAGATGTGATGTTGGCTACTAATGGAATGGGGTATGATGAAATAATACAATTTACAACAATTGTATGCTATAATGATGATGACCTTGGCAAACACAACTGAAAAGATCTGTACACTTGCATAATGGCACTCATCTACATACTGTTGCCATCAGGCTGATGGGCCTGGTTGGTGTCCTGGGGCTTCATCACATCAGGAAGTTCTGGGGGGCAAGACAGGGGGTGGATGTCCAGGTGCTCCCACTCCCCTTCCTCTGTCTTTATGATAAGTCCAATAGTTGCAGGGGACTGAGCCCTGGCTAAGGAGCTTGTGAAACCATAATCTGAGAGATTTTTGTGGTCATCTGCCATTATAGTGTCATCCTTGAGTAGCCTCATTTGGTCATGTGGGACTTTTAAAATGCCTTCAATAATCCTCTTGACTTCTCCCAATGTTGTATTTTCTTTGACGTCTGTGAAGATCGTTGTCTTTTTACGGCGGATCATCAAAAATACATCCATTTTTCTTGGCAATATTGAGCTGTATTGAAGAGAAATTTAATTTACATCAACAAACGGAAGATACATTATTCCTTCATTAATTAAAAACAACAAAGATTTAAAAAAGGTATTAATACTTGGAATTTTAAATTAAAGATTATCAAATCCATGCCGTCAGAAAATCACAAAATTCACATTAAGACGAGCAGTACAAAATCCTGAATGAACTCCTCAGATGTATTGGGTCAAGCACATAATTACACAAAGCTTTATTTTTTTAGATATTTTAGTTGTACATGAGGTGCTTTGCGGTATATGGAAATATTTAAAGAACTCTGCTTTTTAATTTCTTTACCTTTCCTAAACTTTTGTCAGAAGGGTCATATAAAAGGTGTACAAGTCAGCTTTTTAAATGAAGATAGAAGGGGAAAACACCAAGCTGTAAGCGCACCTCGCAGCCCCCTCTCTAAGCATATCCCTACCACCCCCACATGGTCTGGTGAGCTGTGGTTCACACTAAATGTTTACAATCGTAGAGCCGGGTTGAGTGACGGCTATTAGGGGTGGTAAATTAAGTTTGAAATGATTTTAAACTTAGGAGAGGTAACTAAGAGGAGGCTGCTTTCACGGGGGGGGGGGGGGGGGGGGGGGGGTGTGTGTGTGTGTGTGTGTGTGTTATCATCCTTAACGACCTACTGATAGTGTTTTAAAGCAAATATTTTCAGTGGCAGCATTGGTACTGTCGAATTCACAAAATATGAATTAAATAGCCGCAGGTCGGCTCGTATATTATATTACTACTAGCCTTCAGGCTTAGGTCTAAGTATTAATGATGTAATAAGGCCCTAAGGCTATATTTAAAGCAAATTAATAGCCAATTTAAACAATACTGCTTATTTCCATCAACGGTAGACAAAATAAATAATGCACTTATATCCACCAATGGGCTATTGAAGGAACATTGCTACAAAAAATGCTCATTCAGTTAAATTTCTTTGCTCTGATAAAAATCATTATTTTCTTAGATAATTTTAGCTTAACAATAAGATATAATGCATTTAAAAACTATATTACTATTAATAATGCCATTTGCAGTATAAACAAACAAAAAAAAACCTCACCACAACTATACTGATACTCAGTTTCTGACTCAAAACCTATTTCATAGCTACAGTACACTCCATTCTGCAACAACGACATTCAAACCTATCTATCCAATGTGCAGATGAAGAAGAGTTAGTGTTTCTTGACCTCAGCATATGAAGGGATGGTGAGGTCAGTACTATGTCCTGTTACTAGTACTTTCCCATAAAGTCAGGTACACATCTGAGCTGGGTGGACTCAGGGACATCCAACAGTCACAAGTCCTAACCGAGATCAGCACTCCAGACCTTCAGGCTAGAAGCTAAATGCTCTACATTTGACCATGTAGTCTCCTTCAGGCCTACACTCATCAATAGATATTTTGTAAATAGTAGACCCAACTAAATTCCCCACACAATAGTCAATCAAAATATTAAAAAGTAAAAGGCCTATGCTATAGGGCAAATAGCATAGGCCTTTAATATTTTGATAGTATAAGCTAAAATGCAGCTAACTTACAGTCTAAAAAATACTAAATTACTAAATAGAACCAGTGCTTAATAAATGTGTGCCAGATCTCAGTTTACTTTTAGTAGTCTAACTTAAATCATAGTCTAGCTCCTTTTAAAATTTTTAGTCCACTGACCAAGCAAGGATAGAATTTTTTTAGAATAGATCTGGAAATCTAGTAAGTAATCTAGATAGATCTACAAGATTTACATAACATAGATTTAGAATTTTGAATCTAGATCTGATTAGAGTTTAGTTTCGGGCTAATTATTTATAACGAGCCGACCCGCTGCGTATCATACACCGCTATTTAGTTGTTTTATTTTCTACTTTTCAGTAATCCATAATTTGTGAATTCGACAGTACCACTGCTGTCATATTTGCTTTAACTTTAAAACACTATCAGTAAGTCGTTAAGGATGATAACCCCCCCTCCTTTCCTCCAACCCCTACCCCCCCCCCCCCCGTGAAAGCAGCCTCCTCTTAGCTACCTCCCCTAAGTTTAAAATAGTTTCAAACTAAATTATCTGTAAACATTTAGCGTGAACCACAGCTCACCAGACTTCCTAGAGAGGAAGAGCGGGGACTGCAAGGCTTGTTTTCTAACTCTCCAAGAGTTACTTAATGATTAGGCTAACAATGGCTTAATAATATTTAAAGTTTGACTTTGAAAGTGATAGATAGAATCTGGGGTAAAACTCCATTTTAGCGTATTTTATTCCCCGCTTTACGCTCACCTTCAGTTTAGCGTATTTTATTATAAACACAACAGAAATACACAAAAAAAACATTGGGCTTATTTCTTTATGAAGTGTTGTTTTAGTTTTGATGATTTACTTTTGTTAAAACTTGAGAAAAATCCAAATTTGGAATGTGCTATTATCGTGTGTCAGTTAAGATATTCATAGCAATGGGTGCAGTACGAAACTCACAATTGCAAGGCAGTTAAGTTTGTATTGTTACAAGTATCTCCCATGCATGATAGTATAAATAAACTTTTATGAACTCACAGTGACCCCAAAACTGAGGCCAACACCATTTCAAATAGTTATTGCCCAAAATATGACGTATGCGGATAATTAAAGTCAATAGGCTTATGAGCTCACAGTGAATCCTCTTCCGTGTAGGGATTTTTCTCCCGCTGACGATCACACGCTATTTAATTGGAACTGTCCTAATGCTTTTTTAATGGTTTCTTTTTTTACCTTTTCTGATTAAAACTCGCATTAGGCCTAATAAGAAAAAAATAAGTAGATCTAGCTCTAATCCTAGTGTTTTCCTAACGTTTTTGTGTGTTTTGGTTGTGTTTATAATAAAATATGCTAAACCGAAGGTGAACGTGAAATGGCGAATAAAATACGCTAAAATATACTTATATTAACCCTTTGAGCCCGGGCCTCCCTGACCTAATTTCGACCATTTCCTGAGCTCCCAGGGCCAAACCAAATTTTCACTTATCTGCTTCTAACTTTGCCTATATCTTTTGTACCGTTTGAGATAATCAAGCCAAATTTCATATCCAGACTCTGGATCAAACAACAATGCAGCAAGATTCTGAAATTCTTTCTTTATTTTTTTTTTACTATGTTTGAACAGCACAATGTATATAAAACGAACACATAATTATTGTTTTGATAAAACATAGAAGAAAGCAATTTACAATTAGTAATTGTTTTGTTATTATTGATACCTGGCCATACTAGTTCATCGCCAGAAGTCCACTTTTATGTGATAACTTTCAAAACAGTTATCACTGCCGGACCCGATGCAAAGAAAAACTTCGCATGTGTTGCATAAGTAAACATTATTTTTTTTGTTTCGGCTAGTCTTTGTCCTTGACACCACGTGCATCAGAACGTACTTGAACAGTTTCATTGTCACTGTCAATTTCAATGTCACTGTGTTCAGTTTCAAATTCAACGTCACTATCATCACAATATAGACCAGGATTATTATCTTCTTCATCAGAATCAATAAGTAGTTGTATTGCCTGAGATGCAGTCATTCTACTTCTTGTGTTGATATTTCGATCTTTTGCTTCATCTTTTTCACCAACTTTATGTGAAGAAGTCGACGGCTGTGGCTCAGCGTTTCGTTTCGGCTGCATTGCTACGAATTGTAAACACATTCACTTACACTTTTCCTAAAAATCAATTTTTAAAATCATAATCCCGCACTCGAAAGACATATGCGCAGTTTAAGTCAGTCTTCCGCTAATTATAGTTAATTAGACGGTATACCGGCCGCAAGGAATATGACGCTAGATCATCGGGCCGGAAAACCGGCTTTTCGGACATATATGCCTAATGTTGAAGCCGGTTTACCGGCCTAGCGGGCTCAAAGGGTTAAAGCCTTGACAATGAGGTAACTTTTTCGTACATTACTAGCCCATTACTGGGCCATTACGTACCCAAAACGATAGATTACCCCAATATTTTTAATATAGGCCCTGCCTAAGTTACAAAGTATTTACTAACTATTACTAGATCTAGATTCTAGATCTAAGTACTTAGTAAGTAAGATCTAATCTAGATCTAGAAGTATAACTAGATTAGTGATTAGTAGATTACTAGATTTCTAAGTCGTTGGCCGAACCTGCCCTGGCCTAGCCGCTAGCGTGTGATAGTGATACAACTCAAACTGACTGTCATTAAGAGAACTCACTTACTTGAAGAAAAATGTGTTTCTAATCGATCAGATGGATCGAGAATCAAGTATCACAAGATGCCAAGACAGATTTGTTCCCGCAAGATGTCTGCAGAATGGATATGCGACGTTTACAAACGGCGCCGAACTGTTTTCGTTTTTGTTAATCGTAAGATTTCCAATAATAAGGGGAAAAATTGTTCTATTTATAGTTAAAATTCTTAAAAAGTTGAATCATTTAAAAACTGTAATTTATAAATCTATTTGTTACATTAAATGCCACGGCATTCAATTAAATAAGCAACAGTGTATTCTTGTCATCATTTTGACTAACTGGGCTAATTTTAATTTAATTAATAGGCCTACATCTATATTTTCTGGTGAATATGTAGTAATTGATCTTTTCACTAATAAATGAGGTGACCCTTTTCTTTATCAGACTATTGACACAACAAAAGTACGCTAAACTATTTATATTCTAGTTCTAGAAGTACTTTGTGTAGCCTAATTTGACGGTGAACGGAAAAAAAGTCACAGGAAAAAAACCCACAGAAATAAAGTCACAGTTTTTGCTTGGAAAAAAGTCACAGAGTGTTTATTTATGTGGATGGTGTTTTTTTTGTAGCATATTTGCAAATTTACAGCATTATGGTTTAAAACAATAATAAATAAAATACTATAAGATAATTTATACAGCAAACTCAAATTTTGTTACGTATTTAAATACGCGGTAGTAAAAAATAATTACAAATGAAATTTTTCTTCACCCCCAAAATGTATCTTTTACTTAGGCCTATGTGTAGCCTACTTTATTGTAATAAATAGTGTGTTTGACTCTACTAATTCTAAACAGAGGCCTATCCCAATACTGATATTATAAGTCCGTGTTATAATTTATACAGAAAATATATTATTTAACCCGTTTTTGCCCCCATCCACCGGAAATTTTAAGTGCATAAAAATCCCCACCCCCTAAGAAAACGTCTACTGCCCACCCCCCCCCCCCCCTTCGCGCGGAAATTTTAGTCCGCCCGGGGGGGGGGAAGTCTGAAAGAAACACTGAACAAGTGTAACGACACACGGTCACATGGTAAAACATTAGCTTCTTCCAGGACTGATCAAATGAGATAAATTAAATACTGCTGGTTGCCTCATTTTTTTTAGTGTAAGGGAGGATACCGTGTTTTATCTAATCCGCCTTTGAATTTGTTGAATTGTTTCCCCTTAGAGAGCGATTGTCTGTGACACAATTAGTTAGGACCACATTACCGTTACGATTTGAAATCGTAGGAAGTTTTGCACGGAGATTTTAGAATTGTATAATTTTTTATCCCCAACACAAGATCAGCCAACATAGAAATGTTTTTGTAATCGTAAACGGTAACGTAAAAAAAAGACTCCAATTTTTTTTTTAAATATTTCACCGAGCTAATGTATTTTATTGATTAGAAGCTTGTGTAGGGTATCCAAAGACAAACAATACTGTCGTAATCTCGTGTAGAACGTGTTTTGATGGCGTCTGTTGCTAGGCAGTTGCTAGGCATGAAGGGGAAATAAGCGGTAAGAGACTCATAAAAGCTGCTTGATTGAGAAAATGTCAGATATTCAGTTATCTTCAAATTCGAAATTGTGTGTGTGTGTGTGGGGGGGGGGGGGTGTAGAGGTTGGGGGTGGGGGTGGGGTAGAAGCTAAAGCAATATATATTTTCTAAAAGAATTAAAGTGTGGTTTTAAAATTGTCTCCGAAATGGAAGTAGGATTTTCTGGCAAAATGTAAGAAAAGGATAGGGCCTACATTTTCTGTGTACTTTTTTTTTTTTTTTTTACATCTCATGAAAGTGAAAGTAAAATCCCATATATAATTAGGGATAGTGCGTAGATGAAGTCACGTTTTTTAGACCTCTCACCCATCCCCAAATAGCCAAATAGTAACACATTGTGACGAAATGTCGAGCCCCAAGAGATGCCTGGAAGAAACTGCAAACTGGAGAGGTGAGTACATTTTAAACACATGCGCCCATTACATTTGTCGTTGTTAAGATAGTAGACAGAGAAGGAATATGTATTTTTGTGTTGGTCATTCTGTTCCTTTTCTGTAGGTCTTTCTACTCCTTGTGTGTTGTTGCTGCTTTGTGAAGGTCATTCTGCTGCTTTGTGAAGGTCATTCTGCTGCTTTGTGAAGGTCATTCTGCTGCTCCTGTAAGTTATATGCAACTGGAGACAAAAGGGACTTAGGAACTAGTCAAGTGACTCACATGGGAACTGGCCAAAAGACGGACGTGGGAACTGGCCACACCAAACTTTGGAACTGACCATACTGCAATGTGTAATGGACACAATTTGTGATGGTTTCAATTACTTGACGCCACTCCCCTGAGCGCTTGATGCGCCATCTGTCACAGCCCTGGCTACAATAAAGCAATGTTGATGTAGTTCATAAGTCATTCTGTCTGTCACAGCTACACTAAGGCAATGTCCATGTTGATGTAGTTCATAAGTCATTCTGTCTGTCACAGCTACACTAAGGCAATGTCCATGTTGATGTAGTTCATAAGTCATTCTGTCTGTCACAGCTACACTAAGGCAATGTCCATGTTGATGTAGTTCATAAGTCATTCTGTCTGTCACAGCTACACTAAGGCAATGTTCATGTTGATGTAGTTCATAAGTCATTCTGTCTGTCACAGCTACACTAAGGCAATGTTCATGTTGATGTAGTTCATAAGTCATTCTGTCTGTCACAGCTACACTAAGGCAATGTTCATGTTGATGTAGTTCATAAGTCATTCTGTCTGTCACAGCTACACTAAGGCAATGTTCATGTTGATGTAGTTCATAAGTCATTCTGTCTGTCATCCTACCCGCTGCTGTGGGGCCGGGTAAAAATAAATTGTTTGGGTTGGTCTTGTTTACATTACACCACGTGACCCGTGGGGCGGTATCGATTTTTCTGAGTGATGAGAGCCATCGTCTGCTCACGTTGACATGGCCGGCCTCTGGCCAGATGTGGCGACTGGGTTTGACGAGGTACACGTGAATGGGCCACTGGACCGTCCAGGTGATCACGTGATGTCCTGTGGGATTTTATCTCAGCTGTTCTAGAGACTAGAGACACGAGAAAGCTCAATGTGAGTTTGTTTACTTGTTTTAAAAGAAAAGTTGTGCCATTAGTGACATTCACGGACTGAACGGATTTCTGGATTCAGTTTTTATATATAATTTTACAACCTGTGACCTTGGTCTCTTTTAGAAAACAAATACAACTATTGTTTCCTGTTTAGTTATATTGTATAATTATAAGCTAATTATTTTTGTAACGTGACTGGGTTGGCCCAGTTTTCATGTAGTGAGTTAAGTTCTCCTGATTCTATTTAAAACGTGTTGGCCGGTTAACTAAACGCGCATGTGCTGTTTGAAATAATATTAGAGGTCTAAATATTAGAGGTCTAAATATTAGAGGTCTAAATATTAGAGGTCTAAATATTAGAGGTCTAAATATTAGAGGTCTAAATATTAGAGGTCTAAATATGGATCTAAATTGATAACAATAATATAAACAGTCTAAAAAAAGTCTAAATATTAGCGGACTAAACATTAATTTAAATTGATAAAAATAATTTTAAAAAAAGTCTTAATATAAGCAGACTAAATATTGATCTAAATTGATAACAATATTGTAAAAAGTCTAAAAAATCTAAAAACAAACGGACTAAATATTGATCTAAATTGACCACAATAATATAAAAAGTCTAAAAAAAGTCTAAATATTAGCGGACTAAACATTAATTTTAATTTATAAAAATAATTTTAAAAAAAGTCTAAAAACAAACGGACTAAATATTGATCTAAATTGATAACAATAATATAAAAAGTTAAAAAAAAGTCTAAAAACAAACGGACTAAATATTGATCTAAATTGATCACAATAATATAAAAAGTCTAAAAAAAATGTCTAAATATTAGCGGACTAAACATTGAATTTAATTTATAAAAATAATTTAAAAAAAAAGTCTAAAAACAAACGGACTAAAAATTGATCTAAATTGATAACAATAATATAAAAAGTCTAAAAAAAGTCTAAAAACAAACGGACTAAATATTGATCTAAATTGATAACAACAATATAAAAAGTCTAAAAAAAGTCTAAAAACAAACGGACTAAATATTGATCTAAATTGATAACAATAATATAAAAAGTCTAAAAAAATCTAAAAACAAACGGACTAAATATTGATCTAAATTGATCACAATAATATAAAAAGTCTAAAAAAAGTCTAAATATTAGCGGACTAAACATTGATTTTAATTTATAAAAATTATTTTAAAAAAAGTCTAAAAACAAACGGACTAAATATTGATCAAAATTGATAACAATAATATAAAAAGTCTAAAAAAAAGTCTAAAAACAAACGGACTAAATATTGATCTAAATTGATAAAAATTAATATAAAAAGTCTAAAAAAAAGTCTAAAAACAAACGGACTAAATATTGATCTGATGTGAAACAGTCTTATCGTGTCGAGCTGTAGGGGTGGGGGTGGGGGGGGGGGGGTCTTTAATCAAGCTCAGTCTGACAACCATCACAGCTATATTGAACAAAAAAAAAATCAAATTAATTTTTTTAAATAGTTGGGCGGTACCTAGATGTCTTGACGTTAAAGATGTGGGTAATCAAAGATTCAGATAAACAAATGTAAACACACTGAACACTTTAATAGAACAATAAAAAAAAACAATTTAGGAATAACAATTTAAAACGAATAAAAAAAACAAAAAACGAATTAAAAATACCCCAATAAAAACAACAACAAACAGCTGCTATTGTAAATACATTTTTTGTTTTTGAATAAAAGGGATGTTTTAAATTGACCAATGAAAGTCATCATCTCCCAACGCCCATTGGCACACGAGACATCAACCAGTAGGCACTATTTCATCCTGTCTCTAGCTAGAACCTCTGCCTGTTGGTATCGTCTCTTTCCTTCAACTCTTTCTCCATTGGTCTTCTCTAAGTTTCTTTTGGCTGTTCTTGTTATCTCTTGCCCTGTGGTGCCAATCTCAGGACAGTCCTAGCCGATGTGTGTTCTCATTCTTAGCATATGGCACAACCGCTGAGCTACAGTTTTCCGACCCCTCTTGTCAGCCCGACATCCCCCCCCCCCGACCTTGTCAGTTCTCCGTCATTGACCGCGGCCTACGGTGTCTATAAAGTTATCCAAACATTTAAGGCTAGTCCAAAAATGACTTCGTGATTTTAGAACATTGCCACCCCCCTCCCACTGTAACATCATTTTAAACCCCTCCCCATTCCATTTCTCACTGTCTATCTCTGTCAGACTCCTGATATTGTCTAGATCCGGAAGTTGAAAATTCACTGAGAAAACATCAACATTACACCCCCCCCCCGCCATGGCACAAGGAACTGTAGAGAGAAATAAAATCCCCCCCCCCACAGAGGCGTAGCTAGGGGAGGGCGGGGAGGGCGGCCGCCCCGGGCGCCGACCCTAGGGGGGCGCCAAAAGGGGTAGAAAAAAAAATTAAAATCTCATTTTAAGCTGCAGTTTTGAATTATAAACAGTCAAAATAAAGAAATTTAACGGCTGAGAGCCTTTGCATACTGATTTAACTGTTTTCTACCATGATTGTGTAACTGTAAAACGTATATATTTAAGAAACAGTGACAGGAAAATCCGCTTTCCTAGATAAGGAGGGGGGGGGGGCGCTTTTTCGAAGACTAAAATCGGAAAAATTCACACCGGATTAAGGAATAAATAACCAATATCACTCAGAAAAGATACCCATTGTACTAAAGCGTATTTTACGATTTTGTAACATCAAAAAAGAGTTAGTGACGTTTAAAATCCGCTCTACTTATTTGTCCAAGATAGTGAGGCCCTTTTTCACCAACAAAAATCGTAGGAAATCAACTGGATCGGTTGCTAGATAACTTTTTTAACATTAGAAAAGAAATCAATTGTATTAACACTTAATGTACGATTTCACTACCCAGTTTTGCTAAGTAATAACGCGACTAGTTCTTTGTACGATTCTTACGATTCTCTCAACTTGATCAGATACTTTTACTTGATTGCATTATATCTTGCCTGGATCTGCATTAAAGAGAAATAAATATAACCGATTCTTGTATAGCTATCAGATCAGTAAAATAGCAGACTGTCGGAGCGGGTGGATTGGAACCGACACTCTTTGACAAAATTTTTAGAGAGAAGAGAATTAGTGTATTGTACTGATTATTACTTTGTTCAACCTAACTTATAATTCAAAATTGTAATATAGGCCTACTATTATCGAAATTATTCTAAAGATACGATCAAAAGTAGACCAACTAAGGCTTGCACCTTCTACAAAATACACTCTAAAGCAGTGGTTCTTACTTTTTTGGAAAAACGAACCCAACCAGTTTTATATGCGTAATCACCGAACCCCTCTTAATAGTAGTATCGTCCACAATGACAAAATCCGATCATGATTCATATAGGTCGGCTGTGTGTCTTGGCCTCCGCGGAAGCCCAAAGACTGAATTACCGAACCTCTCGGGTTCGATGGAGCCCACTGTTCTAAGCTCTTTTGATTTTCTACTTCTTTCGTTTCGGCATGTTAAGGGGAATTTAATTGGCGTCCAGTGAAATTTTAGGGAACGACAATCAGCGTAATTTTTAATTTTTTGCCAGACTGTCGCACACACATGCACACACACACACACACGCATATATATATATATATATATATATATATATATATATATATATATATATATATATATATATATATATATATATATATATATATATATATATATATATATATATATATATGGGAGGGCGCCAAACTGAAAGTTCGCCCCGGGCGCCGGGAGGGGTCGCTACGCCTCTGCCCCCCCCACCCTTTAAAATACTAGTACCAGATGTGAACACGACTAAACAACCAACTCAATGGGAATAAAACCCAAATGTGAACACGACTTAACCAACAACTCAATGGGAATAAACCAAAATGTGAACACGACTTAACCACCAACTCAATGGGAATAAACCCAAATGTGAACACGACTTAACCACCAACTCAATGGGAATAAAACACAAATGTGAACACGACTTAACCAACAACTCAATGGGAATAAAACACAAATGTGAACACGACTTAACCACCAACTCAATGGGAATAAAAACCAAATGTGAACACGACTTAACCGCCAACTCAATGGGAATAAAATCTAAACAAGGAAACAAACATGAGAAGTAAACATCGATTTTCCAAGCAACAAAAGGTCAAAAGGTCACGCCAGCTACTGAAACTGATATCTATTTGAAGGCGCGTAAATGAAATTCAAAACTGAATGATTTTAACACACAAGAATTGATTAGTTCAAGAAGCAAACAGATGGTGAGTTAGACTAGGTAAAAAACTGACAGCTGATTGTGTGGTTGTGTGGAAGTTTTGGTGTGGGTGGGGGACAGGAAACTAGGACACGTGACATCACCATAAAATGTGGTGTCAGACATTGTTTGGGCTATTTTTAGATGCCAGTCCATTAGCTTCAACTGAAATATTCATTCATTCATTCTTTATGGGTCACTTCTGCTGGGTTTAGGGCCGCTATCCACAGATCTCCAGAGTCCCCTGTCGTGTGCTATCATCTCACCTCCACTCCAGGTGTGCCTCATCTTTTTGGGGTAGGTCTCAATCAGGGTTTCTTTCAGGCATTTCTTCGGGAAAGCTGCGAAGTTAGCGAAAAATGCCACGTAAAAATATATGAGGTTATAATGAAACACTTAAATAGCTTGCGTAATGAAAAGCTAAAATTCACAAGCTGGACTAAAAATTAGAACTTTAGTTAAATTTGTGACATTTTAGACCACATCCACGCACAGATGGGGATAGAAAGACATATTGTGAGTGTTTAAAAATAAATTAGAGTTATACTTAGACAAACGACATGAGTTTAGAATTCTAAGTTACCCACTGCGGTCTAATGAAGACAGTGTACATGAGCAGACGACAGTGTACATGAGCAGACGACAATGTACATGAGCAGACGACAGTGTACATGAGCAGACGACAGTGTACACCAGCAGAGGACACCAGCAGACGACAGTGTACATGAGAAGACGACAGTGTACATGAGAAGACGACAGTGTACATGAGCAGACGACAGTGTACATCAGCAGACGACAGTGTACATGAGAAGACGACAGTGTACACCAGCAGACGTCGATGAACCCAGCCACGTGACAGTGACGGTATTGTCCGGGTGACATCCTGACAGAACGACCGTTGTGCCAGTCGCTCATCGACCGAGCAGAGCGCCGAGAGCGAGCAGACGTACGGGTGAGTGGCACAGGTGGGTTGTGTGCCATTCAGGTGAATTTGTCATTCAGGTGCGTTTGTCGTTCAGGTGATTTTATCATTCAGGTGAGTTTGTCTTTCAGGTGCGTTTGTCGTTCAGGTGATTTTATCATTCAGGTGAGTTTGTCTTTCAGGTGCGTTTGTCGTTCAGGTGATTTTATCATTCAGGTGGGTTTGTCATTCAGGTATTTGTGTGTCGTTCAGGGGATTTTATCATTCAGGTGAGTTTGTCTTTCAGGTGATTTTGTCATTCTGGTTATTTTGTCATTCTGGTGATTTTGTCATTCAGGTGATTTTGTCATTCAGGTGATTTTGTAATTCTGGTGATTTTGTCATTCTGGTGATTTTGTCATTCTGGTGATTTTGTCATTCAGGTGATTTTGTCATTCTGGTGATTTTGTCATTCTGGTTATTTTGTCATTCTGGTGATTTTGTCATTCAGGTGATTTTGTAATTCTGGTGATTTTGTCATTCTGGTGATTTTGTCATTCAGGTGATTTTGTAATTCTGGTGATTTTGTCATTCTGGTGATTTTGTCATTCTGGTGATTTTGTCATTCAGGTGATTTTGTCATTCTGGTGATTTTGTCATTCTGGTTATTTTGTCATTCTGGTGATTTTGTCATTCTGGTGATTTTGTCATTCTGGTGATTTTGTCATTCAGGTGATTTTGTCATTCAGGTGATTTTGTCATTCTGGTTATTTTGTCATTCTGGTGATTTTGTCATTCTGGTGATTTTGTCATTCAGGTGATTTTCTCATTCTGGTGATTTTGTCATTCTGGTGATTTTGTCATTCAGGTGATTTTGTCATTCTGGTGATTTTGTCATTCAGGTGGTTTGTCATTCAGGTGATTTTGTCATTCTGGTTATTTTGTCATTCTGGTGATTTTGTCATTCAGGTGGTTTGTCATTCAGGTGATTTTCTCATTCTGGTGATTTTGTCATTCTGGTGATTTTGTCATTCTGGTTATTTTGTCATTCAGGTGATTTTGTCATTCTGGTGATTTTGTCATTCTGGTGATTTTGTCATTCTGGTGATTTTGTCATTCTGGTGATTTTGTCATTCTGGTGATTTTGTCATTCAGGTGATTTTGCCATTCAGGTGATTTTGTCATTCTGGTGAATTTGTCATTCAGGTGATTTTCTCATTCAGGTGAGTTTGTTTACGTAATCCTGATATCGTGATGTGTTTGTTTACCTGAGAGTGCCAGAGCTTAAGGTCAAGATTTAATTGTCAAAGTTTTCTGTGGAACTTGCCACGAAACGAAAATGTTTGTCTTTCACATACAGTTTAAGTTTAAAAAAAAAAACAACAACGAAAAAAACCGAATTCAGAAATATTAATTCAAATAGTTCGTTAAAGAAAAGAGACACAGACATTATCAATTTAATTCTGATGTTTAATGGGCCCTGTGAGGAAGGGGAGACTAGTTGATAAAGGGACGCAACTACTTGCTGGTTGATCTACGGGGAGGTAACTGTTCCCTGTCATAGCAATCAATTATCGCCAGGAAAACTAATTAATGAGTTGTAATATGGTTAGCATTGTGAAAAATAAAGCGATGTTACTCACTAATTACAGATGCGTATGATTAAATCTGTGTTCGGTTAATTACAAGGCTAGAGTTGATTAAAATAACTGGACCCTAACATGAATATTTTTTTTTAGAGACAGAAGTAGATCAATAGGTAGACACGTTGCTCAATAAAATCATTAGGCCATTTTTCGGTGAGATAAAACCAACAACACAGCAAGACACCCAACAAAAAAAAAAACACCCAACACGACACCCAACTAAGACACCCAACTAAGACAACCAACAAAAGACAACTAACAAAACAGCAAGACAACCAACAACAACAGACCAGCCTTAACGAAACATCTTCGAATTTATCGCATCACGGTGATTGGCTGCAGAACTGACTTATCGAAATTAGGTTTCATTAGCATTCACCCACAAATCTTTGTCAACCATGCACACCTATTATCGATTTATTTTCCGAACTCTTTTATTCTTCTGGTCGCGAACTGGATCTGTTTGACCGAAGTAAACTAAACTTTATATAGTGACAGACCAGTGGCGTAGCCAGGAATTGGTCATGGGAGGGGTCCAAACATTTTTCCATATGTATACAATCATACACGGTGTTGTCAACAGATCCTTGTTTCAGATCTCCTGCCCTACCATGAGGTTGTGAGGTTGCCCTCGTGAGGCAAGACGTTCTACAGCCCGTTGATGCGCGCTCCGAATGCCGACCAATGCCAACGGCACGACCTTCAGTGCGGTCAACTCGACCTTGACCTCCGTGACGAAAGCGGATGTGACGAAGGAGGTGGTGACGTACACGGACGTGTTGCTGGTGTCAGCCACGGTGGTGCTGGTGGTCAACACGGCGGTCAGCTTGTTCCTGAACATTCTGCTGGTGCTCATTATACAGGTGAGACATTCACACAGGTGAGACATTCACACAGGTGAGACATTCACACAGGTGAGACATTCACACAGGTGAGACATTTATAGAGGTGAGACATTTATAGAGGTGAGACATTCACACAGGTGAGACATTCACACAGGTGAGACATTTATAGAGGTGAGACATTTATAGAGGTGAGACATTCACACAGGTGAGACATTCACACAGGTGAGACATTTATAGAGGTGAGACATTTATAGAGGTGAGACATTCACACAGGTGAGACATTTATAGAGGTGAGACATTCACACAAGTGAGACATTTATAGAGGTGAGACATTCACACAGGTGTGACATTTATAGAGGTGAGACATTTATAGAGGAGAGACATTTATAGAGGTGAGACATTCACACAGATGAGACATTCACACAGGTGAGGCATTTATAGAGGTGAGACATTAGGAGAGACATTTATAGAGGTGAGACATTCACACAGGTGAAACATTTACACAGGTGAGACATTCACACAGGTGTGACATTTATAGAGGTGAGACATTTATAGAGGTGAGACATTCACACATGTGAGACATTTATAGAGGTGAGACATTTAAAGAGGTGAGACATTCACACAGGTGAGACATTCACACAGGTGAGACATTCACACAGGTGAGACATTTACACAGGTGAGACATTTATAGAGATGAGACATTTATAGAGGTGAGACATTTAAAGAGGTGAGACATTCACACAGGTGAGACATTCACACAGGTGAGACATTCACACAGGTGAGACATTCACACAGGTGAGACATTTACACAGGTGAGACATTTATAGAGGTGAGACATTCACACAGGTGAGACATTCACACAGGTGAGACATTTACACAGGTGAGACATTTATAGAGGTGAGACATTTATAGAGGTGAGACATTAACACAGGTGAGACATTTATAGAGGTGAGACATTTATAGAGGTGAGACATTCACACAGGTGAGACATTCAGACAGGTGAGACATTTATAGAGGTGAGACATTTATAGAGGTGAGACATTTATAGAGGTGAAACATTTAGAGAGGTGAGACATTCACACAGGTGAGACATTTATAGAGGTGAGACATTTATAGAGGTGAGACATTTACACTGGTGAGACATTTATAGAGGTGAGACATTTATAGAGGTGAGACATTCACACAGGTGAGACATTTATAGAGGTGAGACATTTATAGAGGTGAGACATTTATAGAGGTGAGACATTAACACAGGTGAGACATTTATAGAGGTGAGACATTTATAGAGGTGAGACATTCACACAGGTGAGACATTCAGACAGGTGAGACATTTATAGAGGTGAGACATTTATAGAGGTGAGACATTCACACAGGTGAGACATTTACACAGGTGAGACATTGAGACAGGTGAGACATTTATAGAGGCGAGACATTTATAGAGGTGAGACATTTATAGAGGTGAGACATTCACACAGGTGAGACATTTACACAGGTGAGACATTCACACAGGTTAGACATTTATAGAGGTGAGACATTCACACAGGTGAGACATTCACACAGGTGAGATATTCACACAGGTGAGACATTTATAGAGGTTAGACATTTATAGAGGTGAGACATTCACACAGGTGAGACATTTATAGAGGTTAGACATTTATAGAGGTGAGACATTCACACAGGTGAGACATTCACACAGGTGAGACGTTCACACAGGTGAGACATTCACACAGGTGAGACATTCACTCAGGTGAGACATTTATAGAGGTGAGACATTTATAGAGGTGAGACATTCACATAGGTGAGACATTTATAGAGGTGAGACATTTATAGAGGTGAGACATTTATAGAGGTGAGACATTTATAGAGGTAAGACATTTACACAGGTGAGACATTCACACAGGTGAGACATTTATAGAGGTGAGACATTCACACAAGTGAGACATTCACACAGGTGAGACATTCACACAGATGAGACATTCACACAGGTGAGACATTCACACAGGTGAGACATTCACACAGGTGAGACATTCACACAGATGAGACATTCACACAGGTGAGACATTTATAGAGGTGAGACATTCACACAGGTGAGACATTCACGCAGGTGAGACATTCACACAGGTGAGACATTCACACAGTTGAGACATTCACACAGATGAGACATTTATAGAGATGAGACATTTATAGAGGTGAGACATTCACACAGGTGAGACATTCACACAGGTGAGACATTTATAGAGGTGAGACATTTATAGAGGTGAGACATTCACACAGGTGAGACATTCACACAGGTGAGACATTCACACAGGTGAGACATTTATAGAGGTGAGACATTTATAGAGGTGAGACATTCACACAGGTGAGACATTTATAGAGGTGAGACATTTATAGAGGTGAGACATTCACACAGGTGAGACATTCACACAGGTGAGACATTCACACAGGTGAGACATTTATAGAGGTGAGACATTTATAGAGGTGAGACATTTATAGAGGTGAGACATTCACACAGGTGAGACATTCACACAGGTGAGACATTCACACAAGTGAGACATTCACACAAGTGAGACATTCACACAGTTGAGACATTCACACAAGTGAGACATTCACACAGGTGAGACATTCACACAGTTGAGACATTCACACAGGTGAGACATTCACACAGGTGAGACATTCACTCAGGTGAGACATTTATAGAGGTGAGACATTTATATAGGTGAGACATTCACACAGGTGAGACATTCACACAGGTGAGACGTTCACACAGGTGAGACATTCACACAGGTGAGACATTCACTCAGGTGAGACATTTATAGAGGTGAGACATTTATAGAGGTGAGACATTCACATAGGTGAGACATTTATAGAGGTGAGACATTTATAGAGGTGAGACATTTATAGAGGTGAGACATTTATAGAGGTGAGACATTTATAGAGGTGAGACATTTACACAGGTGAGACATTCACACAGGTGAGACATTTATAGAGGTGAGACATTTATAGAGGTGAGACATTTATAGAGGTGAGACATTTATAGAGGTGAGACATTTATACAGGTGAGACATTCACACAGGTGAGACATTCACACAAGTGAGACATTCACACAAGTGAGACATTCACACAGTTGAGACATTCACACAAGTGAGACATTCACACAGGTGAGACATTCACACAGTTGAGACATTCACACAGGTGAGACATTCACACAGGTGAGACATTCACTCAGGTGAGACATTTATAGAGGTGAGACATTTATATAGGTGAGACATTCACACAGGTGAGACATTCACACAGGTGAGACGTTCACACAGGTGAGACATTCACACAGGTGAGACATTCACTCAGGTGAGACATTTATAGAGGTGAGACATTTATAGAGGTGAGACATTCACATAGGTGAGACATTTATAGAGGTGAGACATTTATAGAGGTGAGACATTTATAGAGGTGAGACATTTATAGAGGTGAGACATTTACACAGGTGAGACATTCACACAGGTGAGACATTTATAGAGGTGAGACATTCACACAAGTGAGACATTCACACAGGTGAGACATTCACACAGATGAGACATTCACACAGGTGAGACATTCACACAGGTGAGACATTCACACAGGTGAGACATTCACACAGATGAGACATTCACACAGGTGAGACATTTATAGAGGTGAGACATTCACACAGGTGAGACATTCACGCAGGTGAGACATTCACACAGGTGAGACATTCACACAGTTGAGACATTCACACAGATGAGACATTTATAGAGATGAGACATTTATAGAGGTGAGACATTCACACAGGTGAGACATTCACACAGGTGAGACATTTATAGAGGTGAGACATTTATAGAGGTGAGACATTCACACAGGTGAGACATTCACACAGGTGAGACATTCACACAGGTGAGACATTTATAGAGGTGAGACATTTATAGAGGTGAGACATTCACACAGGTGAGACATCTATAGAGGTGAGACATTTATAGAGGTGAGACATTCAAATAGGTGAGACATTCACACAGGTGAGACATTCACACAGGTGAGACATTTATAGAGGTGAGACATTTATAGAGGTGAGACATTTATAGAGGTGAGACATTTATAGAGGTGAGACATTTATAGAGGTGAGACATTTATACAGGTGAGACATTCACACAGGTGAGACATTCACACAGGTGAGACATTCACACAAGTGAGACATTCACACAAGTGAGACATTCACACAGTTGAGACATTCACACAGGTGAGACATTTATAGAGGTGAGAGATTCACACAGGTGAGACATTCACACAGGTGAGACATTTATAGAGGTGAGACATTCACACAGGTGAGACATTCACACAGGTGAGACATTCACACAGGTGAGACATTCACACAGGTGAGACATTCACACAGGTGAGACATTCACACAGTTGAGACATTTAGACAGGTGAGACATTTATATAGGTGAGACATTCACACAGGTGAGACATTCACACAGGTGAGACATTTATAGAGGTGAGACATTTATAGAGGTGAGACATTTATACAGGTGAGACATTCACACAGGTGAGACATTCACACAGGTGAGACATTTATAGAGGTGAGACATTTATACAGGTGAGACATTCACACAGGTGAGACATTCACACAGGTGAGACATTCACACAGGTGAGACATTCACACAGGTTAGATATTCACACATGTTAGACATTTACACAGGTGAGACATTTATAGAGGTGAGACATTCACACAGGTGAGACAATTATAGAGGTGAGACATTTATAGAAGTGAGACATTCACACAGGTGAGACGTTTATAGAGGTGAGATATTCACACAGGTGAGACATTTACACAGGTGAGACATTTATAGAGGTGAGATATTCACACAGGTTAGACATGAGAAGAAGTGAAACATTTATACAAGCGACACTTTTACAGGATAGACTTTTAGAGGTGAGACTTATAGAGGTGAGACTTATAGAGGTGAGACTTTTCTGTGAGCTTGCTCATCAACATACTGCTGGTGCTGAGTATACAAATGAGACTTTCAGGAAAGATTTTTATTCGTGCAATTTTTCATAGAGGTAAGACTTTCATAAAGGTGAGCCCCATTCAGGTGACATTTACACAGGTGTTACTTTCAGGTGAGACTTTAATTTTACAATAATACATCAGAAGTGTTTTTCCAAATATCCGTAGTTGAAATAATTAGATTAAATAGGTCTGGGTGGGGTGGGGTGTGTGTGTGTGTGGGGTCTGAATGAGCTTTTTCTTTACGCGTTTGGCGCCCCTTTAGGGTTGGCGCCCCACCCCCTAGCTACGCCTCTCTGTGTATTTTTGTGTAGGGGGGTGGTTATGAAATGTGAAGGTTAGGGATGATAAAATCAGAAAAGATCGAATTTAAATAGATGTCAAACATTTTCCTACCTGCAGTACTCCCCTAGCCTGCGGACACCCCCCAACAGCCACCTCCTGAACATCTGCGTCAACAACCTCCTGCTGTGTGCCGACATGGTGCTCTGCGCCCTCTGTCTGCACTACAACTCCCTCCAGCTGCCCGCCGACAAGGCAGAAGTCATCAGCGGCGTCCAAATCTTCATCACATACAACAGTCTTCTCCAGTACTGGGGCACGTTTGCTAGTATAGGCTACTACAGGTGAGGGGATGTCTGCTAGTACAGTCTTCTCCAGTACTGGGGCACGTTTGCTAGTATAGGCTACTACAGGTGAGGGGGCGTCTGCTAGTACAGTCTTCTCCAGTACTGGGGCACGTTTGCTAGTATAGGCTACTACAGGTGAGGGGATGTCTGCTAGTATAGGCTATTTGATAGGATGTTTGCTAGTATAGGCTACTACAGGTGAGGGGATGTCTGCTAGTACAGTCTTCTCCAGTACTGGGGCACGTTTGCTAGTATAGGCTATTACAGGTGAGGGGACGTTTGCTAGTATAGGCTATTTGATAGGACGTCTGCTAGTATAGTCTTCTCCAGTACTGGGGCACGTTTGCTAGTATAGGCTACTACAGGTAAGGGGGCGTCTGCTAGTACAGTCTTCTCCAGTACTGGGGCACGTTTGCTAGTATAGGCTACTACAGGTGAGGGGACGTCTGCTAGTATAGTCTTCTCCAGTACTGGGGCACGTTTGCTAGTATAGGCTATTACAGGTGAGGGGACGTTTGCTAGTACAGTCTTCTCCAGTACTGGGGCAAGTTTGCTAGTATAGGCTACTACAGGTGAGGGGGCGTCTGCTAGTACAGTCTTCTCCAGTACTGGGGCACGTTTGCTAGTATAGGCTATTACAGGTGAGGGGACGTTTGCTAGTATAGGCTATTTGATAGGACGTCTGCTAGTATAGTCTTCTCCAGTACTGGGGCACGTTTGCTAGTATAGGCTACTACAGGTAAGGGGGCGTCTGCTAGTACAGTCTTCTCCAGTACTGGGGCACGTTTGCTAGTATAGGCTACTACAGGTGAGGGGACGTCTGCTAGTATAGTCTTCTCCAGTACTGGGGCACGTTTGCTAGTATAGGCTATTACAGGTGAGGGGACGTTTGCTAGTATAGGCTACTACAGGTGAGGGGACGTCTGCTAGTACAGTCTTCTCCAGTACTGGGGCACGTTTGCTAGTATAGGCTATTACAGGTGAGGGGACGTTTGCTAGTATAGGCTACTACAGGTGGGGGGACGTCTGCTAGTATAGTCTTCTCCAGTACTGGGGCACGTTTGCTAGTATAGGCTACTACAGGTGAGGGGACGTCTGCTAGTACAGTCTTCTCCAGTACTGGGGCACTTTTGCTAGTATAGGCTATTACAGGTGAGGGGACGTTTGCTAGTATAGGCTACTACAGGTGAGGGGACGTCTGCTAGTACAGTCTTCTCCAGTACTGGGGCACGTTTGCTAGTATAGGCTATTACAGGTGAGGGGACGTTTGCTAGTATAGGCTACTACAGGTGAGGGGACGTCTGCTAGTACAGTCTTCTCCAGTACTGGGGCACGTTTGCTAGTATAGGCTATTACAGGTGAGGGGACGTTTGCTAGTATAGACTACTACAGGTGAGGGGACGTCTGCTAGTACAGTCTTCTCCAGTACTGGGGCACGTTTGCTAGTATAGGCTATTACAGGTGAGGGGACGTTTGCTAGTATAGGCTATTTGATAGGATGTTTGCTAGTATAGGCTACTACAGGTGAGGGGACGTCTGCTAGTATAGGCTATTTGATAGGATGTTTGCTAGTATAGGCTATTACAGGTGAGGGCACGTTTGCTAGTATAGGCTATTACAGGTGAGGGGACGTTTGCTAGTATAGGCTATTAAATCTTAGAGGACATTTGCCGGTGTAAGTGAAAGCATAGTTTGCTGGTATAATTCAGGAATGTTTTCTTGTGTGTACTAGCAAATGCATGTACTGTAGGCTTCTACAAACAAAAGGACATTCTATATTTTCGCATAGAAGGCTGGGCTATATCCTAAACTACTATTAGTAAGGACATTGTGCTATTACAAGCAACATCGATGTTGTCTAAGTCCTTTTGTGAATTGTATTTGACATCGCCTCTAATGTCCTGTATCCTGCGTGAAAGCGAGTTTGTTTATCTTAAATCTCGCTAATGACCGCCTTTCCCTACACGCCCAATACTTAATGACTGCCAATTAAATGTTATTTTAACCCATAAACCAATTAAATTTTTGTTTACTGATTTCTCCAAACGACCATTATAAACTCCAAACAGATGAAAGTCTCCAAAAATATCCATCCCATGTTTTCTCTCGCGCTGTCTAATTAATTATTCACGCGGTAAAGCAGTTTAAAATTCCTGACATTTCCAGGCCAAAGTTCCAGCGGTTTTATCTGCTGGTCCGGTCAAACTTTAGCCTCAATCAAACTTAATTAATTAACCAAAATATTCGAGATCGATAAACTGACGTCATTGTTTTTTTTCAACATTATGGTGGCATCAAAATTCATGAACACAAATTATATACGTTTATATTAAAGAAATGTCAAAGTCTACTCCCTCTACGTCTCGAAATGGTACTAGCTACTAAGCAATAATACCTCTAATTTTGACTTTCAGACACAAAACCATAAAAAAGCCAGAATTAACCTATAATTTTGTCTTTCAGACACAAAACCATCAAAAAAGCCAAAATTGACTTCTAATTTCAACTTTCAGACACAAAACTATCAAAAAGCCAGGACTGACGTTACGCAGCAGACGACAGCTCGTGTCACGCAGCGTGACGTGTAACTGGGTCATCTCCTCCCTGTTGAGTCTAACCGTCAGTCTCTCCTACTCATCAGACTCCCAGAATGCCTTCGGAACTCTGGATCCGTTCAGACGGTAAAGTAGTTGGTGCTGATCTAGCTCAATAGCTTTATTGTACATAGCCCTCTGCTAGACACTTCTTTGAAAGGAACTCAATCAAACCCACATTAAAACACCAATGTCGATCAAAAGAGAATGATTAGGGAACAAAGGTTAGGTGCTAAACGCGAACCCAACATACATTAAGGACTAAAAATACAGTATAGAAAGCTTGAGATTCCCCAGCAAGATAAAGTAGTTCTTTCATTCCCTCTAATCAAACCCAGCTCTTTAGGTGCAAGTTGATTAATGTCGTGCTAGAAAAAAAACGAGAATTTTTAGTTTTTCATTTACTGAAAATGTAATAACTAAGTGATGAAAGGCTAGCAAGGAGATGAGAAAAAGGAAGAGTTTAGGTGATAAGAATTTTTTTTTTCACAAGTAAATACGATTCTAAAGCAACGAAAAACAAACAAACAAACAAACAAACAAACAAACAAACAAACAAGACGACAAAGGTAGCTCTACTTGCGGCTAGCTGGAGTCAGGTTCAAGAGGAACCCACACAGTTTAAGGGGCACCCGTCTCCACTTTATCTAGTTTATTTTAAACTTAAATATATCGCAGGTAATCTGTTCGATGGTTTAGTTTAAACTCTTAGACATAGGTCAGTTGTCTGGCATTGGTTCAGCGCTAAACATGTGTACATAATTAAATTCTCTGGTCTAGGTTAAGGTCTTTGACCTGGGTTAAGGTCTTTATATATTCAATAAGTTCTTAGAGCTGTATGACTATGCGTGTGATGTGTGATGTGAGATGTGTGATGTCTGATGTCTGATGTATAATGTCTGATGCATGCGTGTGATGTGTGATGTATGATATCTGATGTATGATATCTGATGTGTGATGTGTGATGTATGCTGTGTGATGTGAAATGTGTGATGTAGACCTATACATCGCTAAAAAGGAAAACAAAAGTTTAAAACGGAACACGATAAGCCATCGCGCTATGATTAGACGCACGTGCTAGCATCGATTCTTGAAAAAAAATATCGATACTCGTTGCCACGGCAACGGCATATGTTTTCGTGCTGGTTTGGTCCGGGTTATTTTTCCTGGCATTTCTTCCATAATTTGTTTCTTTTTTCAACAAAGCCGCCCATTTTATCATACACAATCGTTGTTTGTTTAGAGATACCATTGGTGGCGTTCAGATTACACAAGTAGAGGTACCATTGGTGGCGTACAGATTACACAAGTAGAGGTACCATTGGTGGCGTACAGATTACACAAGTAGAGATACCATTGGTGGCGTTCAGATTACACAAGTAGAGGTACCATTGGTGGCGTTCAGATTACTGCAGTAGAGGTACCACTGGTGGCGTTCAGATTACACAAGTAGAGGTACCATTGGTGGCGTTCAGATTACACAAGTAGAGGTACCATTGGTGGCGTTCAGATTACACAAGTAGAGGTACCATTGGTGGCGTTCAGGTTACAGCAGTAGAGGTACCATTGATGGCGTTCAGATTACAGCAATAGAGGTACCATTGGTGGCGTTCAGATTACACAAGTAGAGGTACCATTGGTGGCGTTCAGATTACACAAGTAGAGATGGTAGGGTATGGTAGGAATGTGTAGATTTGGTTGCCATTATAGAGCGATGGTTGCTTGTTTAAAATGTTTGAGATTGTATGTTTTTTGTGTGTGTACAATCGACGTTGCATGAGTTATGTTTTATATGTTTGTATGGGTTATAAGTTAAAAAATTACCGAGGTTGACCTGAAGCTCATCAACATATAATTAAACAAACGTTATGTCGTATAAAAAACCGTGTACAAATATGCGAGTCTTACCACCCTAATGGCACCTTGCAGGAACTCTGGTCTGTCACCTGCTGAGATTAGCCCCCACCCCGTCCCACCCCGTCCCACCCCAGTAACGCCTTACACACAAAAAAATAATTACAAGCTGGTAAACAATTAATTTCCATCTCTCGCCAATGCCAGGGATTTTTATGCAAACAAGGTGAAGGACGCCCCAACACGAGAACACGTGGCCGTGACCTTTGTCATCTTGATGGCCTTTTTTGTGGGGCTCGGGATCATCCTCTCGGCTTATTACACGTGAGTCGCTCTAGGGGTCAGTGAACTTTAGATTAGGTGAACTAACCGTGACCTAACCATGACCTAGGCGATGAGGGTACCATGACCTAACCATGACCTAACCTATGAGGGTACCATGACCTAACCATGACCTAGTCTATGAGGGTACCATGACCTAACCATGACCTAGCCTATGAGGGTACCATGACCTAACCATGATCTAGCCTATGAGGGTACCATGGCCTAACCATGACCTTACCATTATACTACCATGACCGTACCACCACTACGACTTGTTTTGATTATTTAAGCCGATACAAACACACACACACACAATATCCGTACGACCGAGACCTTTGACCGTGCCGACCCTGACCAACCGCATGTCTTGAGCTGGTATTCCCTGACCCACAGGATTTGCCGGACCCTCAACGTCGTGTCGGCCGTGGGGCGGAACCGTGTGGCGCCCCACCAGCAGTCACCCCACATCCACTCGGACTCAACTGACCTGACCTTGGCCGTGTCAAGGTCATACAGACCCCAGTATACCATCAGGTGAGCGGTGTTGTAGTGTACTCAATGTGTATTTAATGTGTGTACCTGGGTAGCACTGTGACATGATTCTATATTGCAGGACCCCCTCCTACCTGGGCAGCACACTGACCAAAGAACACAAGGACAAGTTCATCGTTGTGTTCAACAAACAGGACAACACCGTCTCACTAGACGACACCAACATCGAGATAAAGCAGCCCAAATCTCTCATCACAAACACCCCCAGGTAACTTAATCATCAACATCACCAGGTAACTTAATCATCAACATCATCTGGTAACTTAATCATCAATATCAATTGGTAACTTAATCATCAATATCACCTGGTAACTTAATCAACAACACCAGGTAACTTAATCATGGTAACTTAGCATCAATATGTAATCAAAATGTTATCAGAACGCCTAGCAACAAGAAATAGCCACACGGTGTAGCCACAAAATGTAGCCTCAGCAACTAGTCCTAACCCTAGCCCCTTACACCTAGCCCTTCAACACCTATCCCCATTCTAGCCCAACACCTAGCCTCCACCCGATCACGTGGTGTAACTCCCCCCTCCCTCCCCAGAAACCTTCCATCCCGAAGTGCCTACGGAGAACGGCGACAGCTGAGCACCACCTTCAGTAACGCCAGCACGTCCTCCATCAAGTCCAGAGCTCCAGAGTTCACAGACATCAGCATAGGGGCTGACCTGCTCAGGTTTCAGGTAAGACGGGAACCACGTGACACATTTCAGGTAACACGGGACCCACGTGACACAGTTCAAGTAACACGGGACCCACGTGACACATTTCAGGTAATACGGGACCCACGTGACACATTTCAGGTAATACGGGAACCACGTGACAGGTTTCAGTAAACACGGGACCCACGTGATAGACTTCAGGTAACACGGGACCCACGTGACAGATTTCAGTAAACAGGGGACCCACGTGACACAGTACAGGTAACACGGGACCCACGTGACAGATTTCATGTTATCTTGTTTACACGAAAAAAGAGTAAAATACCAATTCCGGTTACCTGATAAATTTTAAAATTTGAATGTAACCTGCACTTACATGGTTATACGCATGTGAAATTTCGTCCACCTAATTTAAACGGTGCTCCAGTTATTAGCATTTGAGCAACTACCATTTCCGGTTACCGGAAACCGCTCAAAAGTTGATAGAAAACTACGCATTTGATGTAATACTCTATTTGAAATCTCGTCAACCTAACTGAAACGGTACTTAAGTTATCGTCCTCACGTACACAGACAGACAAACAGGGTTGCAAACAGTGTTTAGACTTTTTTCTCCGGGGGGGGGGGGGTGGCACTTGAACTTTTTTTTTTGGGGGGGGGGGGGGTGTGGGCGGACACAGTTAAAAGTATTTATTTTCTATATAAATTCCATTTCGTTCGAAGAGGTGCCTGGAAGAAACTCTGGTTGCAAACCTAAGTTTTTCCATCTCCAGAGTGTTGTAAATCGTACAAATCGTTTTTTAATTAGTATTTTAATTATGTTAAAGTATTAAAATTATTAACACCCCTTTTCCCTTATAAGTTAAAAATAAGAGCATTTTAATTAAGTAACATGGAAAAAAAAACGTCCCAAACAAATCTTATCTCAAGTGGAGTGAATTAAACTTCTTTATCCAAGATAATTAAATATTAGCTATACGACTACAGACGTGGATAACCACACTTACCTGCCTTTGTTCCCCCCCCCCCAGCGGGAGCACAGCCACACCCTCCACCGACGCCAGTCCTTCCGCCGGGAGTCCATCAGCCTGAGCAGTGCCATCAGGAACAGCCTGGCCATGCTCATAGCCTACTGCTCCTGCTCCCTGCCCCTCATCGTCCTCTCCGTGCCCGAGCCAAGCTGGGCCCTGACGCCCCTCCAGAGACTCCACGCCCTCCTGGGGTGCCGGTTGTTGTTCTACCTGAACGCCCCTGTGTATCCGGTGTGGTACCTGCTGTGTAGCGTCACCGTCAGGAAGTGTTTTACACGTCTGTGGGAGAGTCTGTTCGGCAGGAGCAGGTGCAGGCAGTGACAGGTGCAGGCAGTGACAGGTGCAGGCAGTGACAGGTGCAGGCAGTGACAGGTGCAGGTACAGACAGGTACAGGTGCATGCAGTGACAGGTGCAGGCAGTGTCAGGTGCAGGCAGTGTCAGGTGCAGGCAGTGACAGGTGCAGGCAGTGACAGGTGCAGGTGCAGGCAGGTGCAGGCAGTGACAGGTGCAGGTGCAGGCAGTGACAGGTGCAGGCAGTGTCAGGTGCAGGTTGTGACAGGTGCAGGTGCAGGCAGTGACAGCTAGAGCTGCAGGTGCAGGCAGTAAAGGTTATATGTGCCCTTATAAGAATTTCCTGTGATGACAGTTATCGGCGCCCCATGTTTGCTAGACGCCCCACAAGGTAGCCACTATGTACAGACACCCTACGCCATCACCGCATCTCAACACAACCAACCACCTCCTTCCCCCACCCATCCAGACGATTCTCGAACACATTTTTCTCACCTTAACATGCTGTTGTTGTATATGTTTTTACATCGTGTTGTTGTCTACATTTTGTGAGGGATCCCGCACATATTATATAACACAAGACCGACACTCGGACCAACCACTGAGACATCTCCACCCCCACCCCTTATAACAATATAACAAGCCAATCAACCACTCAGTGTTATATCATATGTGTAGGATCCCCAAGCTTATGTCGTTATAAATTGACAATATGTTGTTGCTGAAACTGCAAGTTAAATTTAAAAAATAAATTTTAAAAAATTTAGTTTTTCTAAATTTTGGGCTTTGTTATTTTTAAATTTTAAATGTTGCTGTGATGTACGTCAATGATCTTTAGTTTTTTTCTGGGAAACAAATTGTTCTTTTCTGTGGTCTAACTTTACTTTGGTTCAATGGCTAATTGCATCAGTTGCGCTCAACCTCAGCTTTATCCATCGTCTATCCACCATCTCGAATCTCCGTGTGTAGGCCTACATTGCGTTTATTTTTTGTACAATTTAAAATTCGCTAAATACAGATTATAAAAAACTGTTTTATATTGCACATCATCATCTTCTACCAAAGCAGCCCATCCTAGACCCCAGCAACAATCCGCCCTGTAAAACGTGTTTTTTAATACATCGTGTACAGCCAGCACCTGGGGTTCTTCTTCTTCGTTCTTAATTTTTAGTGTTGGAAGTGATCGAGCCTTATCTGCCAGTGGGTTTGAACTCGAGACTTTTTTCGAATTTATCAACCATGAGCTTTTGCCGACTCGACCATGCTTCCATCACAATTAAGGATTACGTGTCAACTGCTTATGCGCCATTGAGGCCATTGACTCCGATTTCAGCTTGCTTTTCTTTTTGAATTTGCTTCCATAGCCTTTGTCCAACCAAGAACAAACTACAAGACAGCAGTTGTTTGATTTTGGAGTTGTCTCTCCTAGAAGAGTGGCTGTCCCCAGCTAACGAGCCTCATCTGCCCGAGGGTTCGAACTCCGGGCTTACGTAGTACACCCCCCCCCCAACACTTAAGCCAGGTGACCTTACCCTCGTATAAAATTACAACTTTGGGGTAATGACAGGGAGTTCTAATTATCTGTGGTAATGGTGGTAATCTCCCCTTACAGTACGCCGTAGCAACCAAAAACATTTCTGCTACACTTTACCCCCCCCCCCCCCACCCCCCTTGGCAGCGCTGATGGATTTGTCCTTGTAGCGTGTACCTGAAAGTTGTAGCACTTTTACAATTTACGTATTACACCAAACGACATTTTTTAAAAGCAGAGAGCTCCGCAACAATTAGCACCCTCCCAAAAAATCTATACCCTCCCCAACAATCTACACCCCTCCCCAACAATCTACACCCCTCCCCAACAATCTACACCCCTCCCCAACAATCTACACCCCTCCCCAACAATCTACACCCCTCCACAACAATATGCACTCCTCTCAACATGAGGCACCCCACCCCAATAATATCCACCCTTCCCGTTAAATTTGCCCTCCTCCCCAACTGTACATCCAGCTCAAGACTTTCAACCACTAAACGCCAGCCAAAAGTAACAATAGTCATGTATAAGGTCAGTCGAAATGTTCAAACAATATTTCATATATATATATATATATATATATATATATATATATATATATATATATATATATATATATAGTCTTTGGTTGATCGTTGTCAGTTTATAAACTTCACCAGAAAATACTTGATCATGCAAGTGTTAGGTCAGAGGTTTGCCTGTCGCCCCTCCTGGGACATAAGCCGCAGACAAGAAGAGCGTTCCAGAAGTCTCTGTCCTGGGCTAGTCTCTCCAACTGTCCCCAGGTGTATCCTGTCCTGAACTAGTCTCTCCAACTGTCCCCAGGTGTATCCTGTCCTGAGCTAGTCTCTCCAACTGTCCCCAGGTGTATCCTGTCCTGAGCTAGTCTCTCCAACTGTCCCTAGGTGTATCCTGTCCTGGGCTAGTCTCTCCAACTGTCCCCAGGTGTATCCTGTCCTGGGCTAGTCTCTCCAACTGTCCCCAGGTGTATCCTGTCCTGGGCTAGTCTCTCCAACTGTCCCCAGGTGTATCCTATCCTGAGCTAGTCTCTCCAACTGTCCCCAGGTGTATCCTGTCCTGGGCTAGTCTCTCCAACTGTCCCCAGGTGTATCCTGTCCTGAGCTAGTCTCTCCAACTGTCCCCAGGTGTATCCTGTCCTGAGCTAGTCTCTCCAACTGTCCCCAGGTGTATCCTGTCCTGGGCTAGTCTCTCCAACTGTCCCCAGGTGTCCTGGTCTAGTCTCATCAACTGTCCCCAGGTGTATCCTGTCCTGGGCTAGTCTCTCCAACTGTCCCCAGGTGTATCCTGTCCTGGGCTAGTCTCTCCAACTGTCCCCAGGTGTCCTGGGCTAGTCTCTCCAACTGTCCCCAGGTGTATCCAATCGACTTGGTTTCTTCTTCCAGGTAACGTCTCCAGGTCTTTTTTTGTCTGCCTTTTTTTTCTTTTGTCCTGTGTATTCCATGGTGAGGGTCTGTCTTGTTATGCCTGAAACAGGCTTCCTGAGTGTGTAGCCAATCTATCTCCATTTTCTCTGGAGGATCTCTACTTCAGCTGGCAGTTGATTTGTCCGTTGCCAGAATACATAATTTCTGGTGTTGTAAGGTCAGTGTATCCGAAAGATGTTTCCGAGACATGAGTTTATAAATGATTGTATTTTCTTATTTATGGCACTTATTCTCCATGGCTCAGCTGCATAGATTAAAAAAGATTTGACTAGTATGTACGTGTTTCATGTGACCAGCATCTAGAAAAGTCAAGTCTAGACCAGATTCTAGTGCTCCAGACAATTTGTCAAGAAACGTCAAGTCTAGACCAGATTCTAGTGCTCCAGACAATTTGTCAAGAAACGTCAAGTCTAGACCAGATTCTAGTGCTCCAGACAATTTGTCAAGAAACGTCAAGTCTAGACCAGATTCTAGTGCTCAGGACATTTTGTCAGGACATTTTAAAGTTGAGCCTATCTAGTCCTACTCACTTTCCTTGCTGGAAAGTTCAAGACTTTAATTGCCAGCTTAATTAAATAATTAGCCGCTTGATAAGCTCGCGTCATCTGAAGAATTGTCCATCTAAAGCCTAATTGATGCCGTCCAACATAGCTGTAGTTATTGCCACAAGTGCTGACTGTCTGTGTGGTGTTAGGGAACGACTGCCTGATTAGGCGCTACTTTGTCGGACATATTTCATAATTGTACCTGACTACTTCGTCAACTTCCCAACTGATTCTTTTACGTGTCTGATCTGACCTGACTCAACACATGTTGGTGTGTCGGCCTTGAATAGGACGTTTCAACCATTTGTGTTATATCGGCCTTGAATTCACCCTAGCACCGTGTATCCAGACGGCCTTTGTTGTCTGCTTTCATAAATTCTATATTCCAATCTCCTGGTTCCAGCCCTCAATATAGTTCTTTACATCTTCTCATAAACAACATTTTGCATCTTTAAACTGTTAGGATAATTAAAATTAATACTTGTTAATTAATTTCAGCTAATTAGTGTTGCAGTCGCCATGTGTCTGGTCCTACAACTGACCACAGCCCAGAGCTGCCGACAGTCGGAAAAGACAGCCTGTAAGGAGGAGGGCTGTGCCTGCATCCGCGGCAAAAAACCGGGAATCTCCGCTACAGAGTCCTGTGAGGACGTCTGGGACAACAACCTGATCTTGTCCTGTAGGCGGGACTGGATGGCGTGTATGCAGGCTAGGGGGTGTATCCCACAGAGCAGGGTGGGGCCATGAGGGTCATGGGACCACAACCACACGGAGACAACCATGGGACCACAACCACACGGAGACAACCATGGGATCACAACCACACGGGGACAACCACAAGACGACAACCACAGGACAGCAACCATGAAACCTCATTTCCGTAAAAAATCAAACCACAACCCTATGACTACAACCCTATGACGACAACCATGAGACGACAACCACACGACAGCATACAAAGCTTTTTTTTTTAAACTTTAAATCTTTCCATATTAATCATCTTCCTTTCAACATTCATCAAACTCCAATAAAAAATTAATTAATTAATCAAATCCTCCTATTGTTGGTGTACTAATGTTGCTCACTCTTAAAGTTCTTCATGTTTTTATGTAAGTCGGTATGTGTGTGAATATGTTGATATGTGAGTTGTTATGTAAGTGTGTAGCTATATTTTATATGGCTAGTTTCAAAAGTTAACTTGATCAAGTGCGGCTTTAGAAAGGTTAAAGTTCGCTTCAGATAACATTCGTGAACACCGGCTGTTGAGAATTGAGAGGGTTAGGGCTAGGGTGAGGCTTAAGGCTAATGCTAGGGTGAGGGTTAAGGCTAATGCTAGGGTGAGGGTTAAGGCTAATGCTAGGGTGAGGGTTAAGGCTAATGCTAGGGTGAGGGTCAAGGCTAATGCTAGGGTGAGGCTTAAGGCTAATGCTAGGGTGAGGCTTAAGGCTAATGCTAGGGTGAGGGTCAAGGCTAATGCTAGGGTGAGGCTTAAGGCTAATGCTAGGGTGAGGCTTAAGGCTAATGCTAGGGTGAGGGTCAAGGCTAATGCTAGGGTGA